AGTCACAAGAGACGCTGCTCTAGACGAGCGATCAACATGAGCTAACAATGGACGGATGCTCATCCATGGTCAAACCTGGCCGAAGGCTTACAAAGATTAGAATGCATTGTTTCATCAATTGAATATCATCGCTGTTAACGGTATTTTCGGACGTAAACCTAATAATATCTCACGGGGTTAGACCAGCTTAGGAAATTTAGTTTAATCCTAAATCAAGCTAGTAACAGAAAAAACTGAATCATGATTTATAAAAACCATTTATTGCTGTATATAAAAATTACAGAAAGAAATTTAAGTCGGTTTGAATATCAATAAAGAAAACACTAACCTTTCTTTGCGATTCTTTTAATGCAAACACATATCACTAGTAATACGTATAGAACATTAACAACCACTTCTTTAGCAATACTCCTAAGCACTTGCTCTTTTGTTCCACATCAGTAAGGCAAGGCCTGCAAACTTAGCATTATTCTGGATACTTTGTATGCTGGATTTTTAATTTTCACTAAAAATATGTTTTTTGCACTTGGAATACAACAAACACACGGCGTGGCTTTGCTGTGTTAAAACGTAATTAAAAAGCGTTGTTAAAGAAAATTCAATACTCAAAAGGCTGTAGTAGTAGTAGGTCTTGATACAAACAAGTTAATATTAACTTACGATTTGTTTGTCTGTTTGTTTGTAATTAAGAACAAAGCTACACAATTGGCTATCTGTGCTCTGCCGGATTCTAGCGTTGGCCACTGGGGGGCATTAACTTACGATCAGAGCAAGCAAACTACTTAGATAAAAACCAAGAATAAACTGGTAATGAGTATAGCTTCCTAAGTATAATTTTCTTTTTTAAATATTGTATTTCAAAAGTTTCGACAGAAAATGTAAGTTCTAGCTACTGATTCAAAACACGAATAGCTTAGTGGTTAGGACACTCAACTTGAATCTGTGAGTCACGAGATCAAATTCCAGCACCGAACATGCTCGCCTTTCAGTCGTGGGGACGTTAAAATATAGTGGTGAATCCCATTATTCCTTAGTGAAGAGTAGCCCAAGAGTCAGCAGTGAGTAGTTCCGGGCGGATTGCTTTCACTGTGGTTGGCACTTCAAAATTAGGGATGGCGGGGGATTGGCTTAGTAATTTTGCTATAAACAAACACTAGGTGATGCTATATATGAATATGCCAAGCAATTGTATTATTTTGTATTTTAATTTATTTAAGCACTTAGTTACTTCACTAAACCCAGAAATGTTAATATCTCTGTAAGAAGAATATTGTTTGTTTGTTTGAATTTATGCACAAAGCTACACAATGGACTATCTGTGCTCTGCCCACCACGGGTATCGAAACCCGGTTTCTAGCGTTGTAAGTCCGTAGAGATACCGCTGTGCTACTGGGGGGCCTGTAAGAAGAAACCGAAGACTTGAAAATTTTAAGTAATTTTCTTTTTAAATTTTGTCTTACTCAACCATATATTTGTTATCACATAACACATAGAAATTTTATAGAAAAATTCCCGAAGCGTTTTGTCATCAATTACCTAGTATCTGGCAGGCGGTAGCACTGCCTGTGTAGGGATGGCTCGGATTGTTCATCGAAATGGTATTTTAAATATCTCCTCAATAGGCCATCAGAACTTTACAATAATGTACAGTGTTTCCTTTTATAACGATATCTATGTAATGACTGAGTCACAAGTTCTTGGAATGCCTGTAAATATCATAGCAAGAAGTTTGAATTTCTTGTTCTTCTTTGTTCTGCTTGCTTTTTATTACATGATAACTCATTATGAAGCAAATGCCATCCCTACTAAATTGTTTGCATTGTTTTTGATGGATTGAAAATAGCAATCCCTGCATTCACTTCCTTATTTTTGAAACGTTTTTTTTTCTTCTTTACTTGTTAATATTTCATTGTCACGTCGTTGCGTTTCATTTTTTCTGCTATGACCATGAAATATTTGATTATGTGTAGTTGGATCGCTCGAAAGCTACTTGAGGGCTATCTATGCTAGCCGCCCTTAATTTTGAACTGATAGACTAAAGAGAGAGAGGGAGAAGACAGCTATAGTCAACAAAACCCGCCGCTATTTTGTTGGCGCTCTAACCGGATAATGAAATTTGGACGCCATTCTTATAACGCACCCCCGGCTCTAATGTGCCGAGCGTGATTTTTTGAAAAGGCGGTAACAGAGCGCGAACCGCAGCTCCACAGTTCGGCACGCTGACCACTGGACCGTACTTGGCTCAGTAATTTTTTAAAATCACACATGAAACATGAATTTTTCTTCATGATTTTTGAAGTTTTTTAGTTGCTTCTGTCAGCATGAAATAAAGTTCAATACCAAATCTGTTTAAATTCAAAACTATGATGTCATTTCCGCGTATGCCTAGCATGGCCAGGTGGTTAGGGAGCTCGACTCGCAATCTGC